AGGGAAAGAAAGAGATGAAAATGACAGATATAGAGCTCAAATTGACCGAAAGGAGCAAACGATTGAATCAGAGCAGGAGGTTGGAGAGAGATGAAGGGAAGATGTCTCTGAAATTATGAACCTGGAACCCTAAAAGGTGGTGAGGCCCATGACAAAGACTGGGAAGTCAGTAAGAGGGGGACCGTGTGGAAGAGTCAGACACTCATTTCCATTTTGGACATGTTAAATAATCTGTCCTTCTCCTCCCATTTCTGACTCCACTATTTCTTTCAAGCAGCACCACCGTTCACCAAGGTCTCTAATGATATTTTTGACTCGCCCACTTTTCCTCCCCTCTCACATCCAATCACTCATCAAGTCCCAGCCATTTAACCTGCCGAAATCATCCCCTCCCCTCTGCTCCCACTGCCCGTCATTATAGTGATCCATCATCATCTACTTTGACTTTTGACATAGCCTCCTAGTGGGTCCTCCCATCTCCATTCTCTCCACATTCCCATCCATCTTTCTTCTTGCCACCAGATTCATTTCCCTTCTTCGTGTTCCTACTCAAAAATCTTTAGTAGCTTGCCTTTCCAAATTCATATGACTCTTTTTTTCTGGGCATTCAAGGCCCTCCACAATTTGAAACTATTGGCCCTTTCCAGAAGAGGAATTGACACACCTCTGAAATGCTCTGTGATACTTGGCAGTCACCTGGATCTCAGTTGCTTCATCTCTAAAATGAGGGGACTAGACTAGGTAGGTCACTTCTAGTTCTAGATCGAAGATCCTAGCTATATGACCTTGGGTATATCATATAATTTTTTGCATAAATTTGTGCATATGGGTAGCTAGCTGGGACAGTGGATAGAGTTAGGAATATTCCTCCTCATGAGTCCAAATCTGGCCTCAGACCCTTACTAGCTATGTGACCCTGGGTAAGTCACTTTACCCTGTTTGCCTCAGTTTCCTCATCTGTAAAGCTGGAGAAGGAAATGGAAAACCCTTCCAGTATCTTTGCCAAGAAAACCCCAAATGGGGTCATGGACAGTCAGACACAACTGAAAATGATTCAACAACAACATGCATTGCTGTTGCCTCCCTGACTTGATTGTAAGCCACTTGAGGGCAGGGCTTGCTTCACTTTGCTCTTTCTATCCCCAGCAGCTAGTACCATGGACATACTTTATAAATGCTTACTGATTGATAGCCTTCAGACAGACAATACCCATAGCTCCCAATGTGAATTCATTCCTCCCTTTAAACATCTGGGTCACAGATATGCCCATTTAATTAATATCCAAAATGCTCCTTGCTCATCAGGTGGAAAATTCACCATTTCAGTAAGCACCTGGGTCTCTCTCTCCTCTGAACTACAGAAGGCAGCCTGGTGTTATTCATTGCTTTTCATTTGGTGAATTTAAATCTGATCAAATTTGGATTGGTAGAAGGAGGAGCTTTGATTTTCTCTCCATTGAAATGAGTCCCTCTTTTGCCTTTCATAATTGCTCTGGTCTGACACTAATTTAGAGCCAAAGCATCTAAGATCTGGATCTTTCTTGAAAGCAATTAATCTATTTGATGTCATTATTCTCTGAGAGCAAGATTCCCTAAAAGGTGCAGGTCCCACCATCCTTTGCTCTCATCAATGGTAGTTGCTCTCCTGGCTCAGACTTGGCCAGGAGATGAACCCCCAGACCTCAAGGAGGGGGAGTCCCCTGTCTCAGCGGAGGTGCCTTCTTATTTGCTTCACATATAAGAAGATAGCAAGGGTAGGTCTGTGACTGTGAGAGGTTGAGAAATGAGTGAAAGGAAGAGAAAAGGAAGTTTAAACAGTATTTTCTTTGAGTTTGGTTGGGAAGCAGGTAGAGGAGGCCTGGGTCACCCAGGTGAATGAAAAACTGGCTCCATTAGTTCTGGTAACTACTCCCAGCTACCATGATTTTACCTGAGGACCATGTGGGGTAGGACCGCCAGAAACCAAGGACAGGTGCACACTGCTAATTCATTCATTCAACAAATACTCATTAACATTAATAGGTGGCATTTATGTAGCACTTTAATTTAACAGCATTAAAGAAGAGACATTGACATCTCCCTCGCCATTATACTCTAAGGACCATGGGACTTCTCCATCTGATTGTACCTCAGTCCTTCCATATTTATCATCTCTCCTATTAAAATGGGAGCACCTTGAGAGCAAAGGGCTGTTTTCTATTTGTAAGCCCAGTGCTTAGCATAAGATAAATGTTTAATTAATGATTTATTCATTCATTCTCACACAACCCTGTGGCATTGGTGGTATTATTATCCCGCTTTAAGAAATGAGGAGATTTGAGATAAATAACTTCCTGATTCCAAGTCTAGCTATCTGCTAAGCCATGTAGCAGCTAACATGCCACACGGTGAGCCTGGTATTAGACACTGGAGGAAATTAAAAGGGCAGCAAGAACGTTCTGTCTTCATGTAGCTTACAGTCTCGCAAAAGAACAAGACACCAAGACGAGGAGCTGTAAGATCCTTTTTTATTTTGGACTGGAGCGCTGATTTCTTCATTGTAGAGAATTCCTAGAGAGAAAACGCTAACTGAAGTTCTGAAGGGAATTGCTTGGGCACTTCCTTGTCTTAGAGAGTCGGGTGGAGGCACTGAGAAGAGAAGGGACCTGCCCCTGCTTCTACCACCCCTCCCTCACCCCTTGGCTGGCCCAAACCTGGGTCATTCTCACAGCCTGCCCCCTCTACTCTTACTCAGCTCCTGCTAAATGGTGCTGGAGGAAGTCAAAACACCATCTTGCCTGGGTCCATTTCCAATGGTGTAGTTGGGTAGGGCCCTGGGTAGGGAGTCAGGAAAACATGAGTTCAAATCCAGCCTTATATATTTAAAAGCGAGTTGTACATAATAGATTAGCAGTTTTCATATGCAGTCATCTTTTTTATTATTTGCATCTATGTGTGTGGTTTTTTCCTTCATTCTTTTTTTTTTTTGGCTAGGCAATGGAGTTAAGTGACTTGCCCAGGGTCACACAGCTAGTGTTATGTGTCTGAGGTCGGATTTGAACTCAGGTCCTCCTGAATCAAAGGCCGGTGCTCTACCCGCTGCGCCACCTAGCTGCCCCTTTTTCCTTCATTCTCAAAGAGGACCATGACATCAGGAAGATGATGACATGACTAGCAATTGAATTGGATTTGAACGAGGGAGGGCTGTGTGGAAATGCTTGTTTTATTCCATAAATTAAAAATAAAATAAGTTTTTAAAAATCCAGCCTCCAACATTTACTTACTAGCTGTGTGACTCTGAACAAGTCACTTCCCCTCTGCCTCAATTTCCTCACCTGTAAAATAGAGATAATAGTAAACACTTACCTCCCAGAGTTGTTGTGAGGATAAAGTGAGAGCATGTGTAAAGGTTTAGATAAATGCTGGTTTATTGGTATCGTTGTTCAACTCAGCTGGACCCCGCTTTGCAGCAAGGCAATTCTGTTTACTTCTATAATTTACTCAGCAGCCAGGGGTTTCGGTGGTTAGAGTACCAGTCCTGGAGTCAGGAAGGCCTGAATTCAAATCTGTCCTTGGACACTTAATAACTGTGTGACCCTGGGCAAGTCACTTAATCCTGTCTGCCTCAGTTTCCTTATCTGTAAAATGAGCTGGAGAAAGAAATGGCAAGCCACTCCAGTGTCTTTGCCTAGAAAACCCCTCAAAGGGTCATGAAGAGTCAGACCCAACTGAAACAAGTGAAAAACAACAACACAATTTTCTCTTCAAGGTCACTCCATTGTGACCATTCCAAGCTTTTCTTCTTTCTCTGAGCCTCCCACAAGACTCCTACCACTTTCCTCTTAACCAAGGACTTCAACCTCTTTGTCCTCACCTTATACTTTACCAAAAAAGTAGGCTATTCACTGTGAGCTCCTTCTCCCTTACTTCCTTCTCAAAATCCCTTGATATGATGCCTCGTTCTGTCTCCCATTGCTGTGGTCTGTGTTGAAAAGATAAGCCTTTCCTTCTCTGTTTATGCACCCTGTCCTATCTTCTCTAGTAGACCCTTCCCATAATCATCTCTTTCTCTCTCTAACCCTCATCCTCTCCTTATTACTTGTCTCTACTGCTTCCTACACATATTCCCAAGTTACTCTTGTCCTCAAAAAGGTCTTCACTTGACCATACCATCCCCTCAAGCCACTGTTCTTTCTCTTTCCTCCCCCTAACAACCAATCTTTTTGAAAAAGCTGTTGAAACATATTGCCTCTTTCCTCATTTATTCCTCAGCACTTTGCCATCTGGCTTCTAACCTTCTCATCAAAGTCCTTGGTGTTGTCCGATGCTTGAATATCAGCTATCAATGAGATGACATTAAGGAAGATGCCTTGCCATCAGTTGGCCACTGCGCCCTCGGGAAGCTCTCCATCTGGAAGCCTTCTGTGTGTTTTGTCTCCCCATCAGAACATGAGCTCTTGGAGATCAGGGACGATACTCCATCCAGCTTCTCTCTCCAGGGTTTCCAGTGATCTTAATCTTTTCATTGCTAGACCCAAAGGTCTCTTCTCCATCTTCATTCTTGTTGATCAGTATTTGATCACACCCTCCTTATCACTAACATGTCTCTAGGTTTTCATGGTCCTGCTTTCTTCCCTTTCTCTCTGTCTGCCTCCCTCCCCTTCCTTCTCAGTCTCCTCTGGTAGGTCATATTTTTTTGTTGTAGATTTCATCCAACAAAGGAGACCCCTCAGATCAAGGGATTTGAACTCAGGTCTTCCCAGCTCCAGGCCCAGTGCTCAGAACAGAGAAAAGACATGGTCCTGTTGGAAAACAGTATATGTGGGAGTACTGGGATGGTTTTTCTTATCAACCAATGTGTTGGCCTTGGGCTGCACCAGCTTAAAGATGTAGCAGTGCTATTGTTCTGCAGGTAGGTGCTGGATATATCTGATCTCATGTTTAGGATGTTAAAGCCATCCTTAGTATTTCCCAGCTTTGCTACCCAGTGTTATTCAGCTCAACCAGTGTTGTTTCCCCAGCTCACTCGCTATACTAGGGAAGGCTTCCTGCACTTGGGTGCTCTCGGGACCACCACCCTCCTGCCAGACACCCGCTGCCTTGTGGACAACTTCAAGAGCCGCTTCCCCCAGCTCCTGGACTGTGACAAGGTCAAGAGCAGCCTGCACAAACGCTGGAATTTCATACAGGTTAGATCCTCTCCCATCCCCTCTTCAGCCCGAATTATACATATCCAGGTAACACTGTGTCTGGAACACTGGACTGGGATATATAGGAAGACCTGAGTTTGAATTCTGCCTTAGGCACTCACTAATTTGTGGCCCTGAGGCAGTCACTTAACCTCTTTCAGACTCAGTTTCCTCCTGTAAAATGGGTATAATTACACTGCGCCTACTCGAAAGGTTCTTGTGGGGATCAAATGGGATAAAATACAAACTGTCTCAAATCTTTTAAAGCATAAAACTGCCCTTTGAGGACATTCTGCATATAAAGTGTCTTTCAAACCTTAAAGCCCTATATAAATTCTATTATTATGATGAATATTAACATAATTATCATTATTTCTTTCTGAATTGTGTGAAAAAATAGTCTGAAGAGGTGATGACTTTGCCATGGTCACATAGCCATGTGATTCCTGGCCAATCAGAGACCAGGTTCAAACCTAATTCTCCTGGCTCCTAACCCAAAGCCTTTTTTTCCTTCTCTGCATCATGATGAGTCATCATCCTGGGAGAATCATTTTCAATGTATTAGTATTCCATTCAGCTTTCAGTCTGGGTCCACTTCTGGATACCACATTTTTAAAAAGCTAGAAATTCTTTGTTAGAAGGGATGGCAATCGGAGGGTGGGGGGAATGCAGGGGAAAATCCTGGTGAGACAAAAATAAAGGCCATCAATAAAAAACTCTTTTTAAAAAATCCTGATGCTGGTGAGGAATGAGTGAGTAGATAACTCAGCTCTGGGCTCAGGAAACAAGCCCCTAGGAAACCAGCATGATGGCAATACAGGGTCACGACTCTGACATCGATTCTTTGTGTAAATTATGTGGGGAGGTTAGCCATCTCCTCGCATACTGTTGCTAAGCGTATGGTTCTCCTTTCTATCTCTCTCTTTTCCTCCTTTTCACCCCTCTTCTCTGTCTCTCTCTCTTTCTCTCCCTCCCTCCTCCTTCTCTTTCCCCCTGTCTCTCTCTCTGTCTTCTCCCTCTATTTCACTTCATCTCTCTTTCTTCCTCTCTCTTTCTTTGTCTGTTTCTCCCCCTCTCCTCCTCCTCCTCCTCTTCCTTCTTCTTCTTCTTCTTCCTCCTCTTCTTCTTCTCTCTCTCTTTCTCTCTCTCTCTTCTCTCTCTCTTTCTCTCTCTCTCTCTCTTCTCTTTCTCTCTCTCTCTCTTCTCTCTCTCTTTCTCTCTCTCTTCTCTTTCTCTTCTCTTTCTCTCTCTCTCTCTCTCTCTCTCTCTCTCTCTCTCTCTCCTCTTTCTCTCCTCTCTCTCTCTCTCTCTCTCTCTCTCTCTCTCTCTCTCTCTCTCTCTCTCTCTCTCTCTCTCTCTCTCTCTCCTCTTTCTCTTTCTCTCTCTCTCTCTGTCTCTGTCTCTCTCTGCAGAATGGAGCAATCATGAATAAGGGGACAGGCCGCTGCCTTGAAGTCGAGAGCCGGCCCAGCATCGACCTTATTCTCCGCAGCTGCACAGGGCAAAGGTGGACAATTAAAAACTTCATCAAATAGAGAAGGGGAAGCTGGGGAGCCCTGCCCTCCGGAACCTGCCTTGGCTCCCCCATGCTCTCTTTGAGAGCATGTATCTCTTCCAGAGTGGGAGAGAAATCAAGGGCCATGCAGGGGCTTTGTTGGCATTCTGGGGTCTTCTGTGGGGCCACTTCATCTCTCATGGGTAGGGAAGCTGGGGGGAGGGGAATCCAGTCCCTGCCTCATTCTGCCTCCTTCTTGGAGTCTCATCAAACAATGAAGCTTCTTTTGGAGGGAGCCCACCTGCACCAGACAATCCCTGGATGGGCTTGCTCAGAATCACTCACTGGGGCATCTCACCCTTGATCTAGGAAAGCATCCTTACTCTCAGCTCTCAGAAAACTGCTGCTGTGTTATCGGCCAGGGATGCTGATAATTCAAAGGAAAGAAACTGCCCCATCAGCCCCTTATTTCTCCTTCTCTTTTCTCCCTTCTACCAGCATGCACACACACACACACACACACACACACACACAAACACACACACAAACACACACACACAATCCAAAGAGACAAAGAACATTTTTTCCTTTGGACCAATTGCTTATATCACTTCTCTTTTAAGTATTTTGCTGTAGGAGCTAAATTCCACCTTTATTGTGAACGTGGTAGGCAGCTTTGGTCTCTGCTCCTCAGCCTCTCTGGAAGAAAGATGCTAAGCCACTCTCTAATCTGTTATGCCTCATCTCTACCCTAGGGAAGAAACCAGGGCCTTCAGCTGGCCTTGGTCCTGAAATACATCCTTGTCCCCAAATGCTCCTTCTCTATAAAGCCCTTCCAAATGGTATCTATCTCTGCTACTTGGCCCAGCTTCTGATGGATGTTTCCAGAGCCCACCCAGACACGCGGCCATTCAGTATGACCTAGCCCCAAACACATGGCCAGAAGGAAGCCAGGGATTCTGGGAGCTTACAGAGTAAAAGCTCACCACATGGGTTCTGCCAAGCTGGGCCTCCCCTTGTTTGTTGTGGCTTTTTAGCCCCTCCTTCTTGGAAGTAAAAAAGCCAGCTGGTGACAGATGAAAAAAGATATTTCTTGTGTTAACTTGGGTGGGAGAAGGAGAAATCAGCTTTGAAAAGCCCACATCATTGGGTCTCAGTTACTCAGAGGCAATCAAACTGTAATGCTCCACATGTTTGCTGAGCAGTAACTCTGGCTGAGTGTTTCTATATGTTCTGGAGGAAGAGGAGGAGAGGGCAGCTCTATATCCCCACTGTGAGAGAGGAGTCCTGGCTCATCATAACCTGCTCTGCTATCTGGAACCTGACCCACCGAGAGAAAACTGGAGACCTCAGTTTCCCATGTGCCCTCAGGGACCTCAGGATCTGGTGCTCAGACTTTATCCCAGAACCCTGGGGCTAGGGCCTATACAGCAGCCCCATAAGAGACCATGGGACTACAGGCTGTGCATACTAAAGCTATTTTATGCCTGTGTCTATACTTCCATCCCAAACTCTGCTGAGGATGGAGAAGGCAGTGATTTCCTGTCTTAGGAGTAATAATTTTTCTGATGCCCTCTGGTTAGGGTACACTTATAAATTAAAGTTAATATATATATATGTGTGTGTGTGTGTGTGTGTGTGTGTGTGTGTGTGTGTGTGTGTGTGTGTGTGTTTGTATGCCTCTGTGTGTCTGCATGTGCGTGGATGTGTGTGTGTGTGTGCGTGTATGTGTGCGCGTGTGTGTGTGTATGTGTGCGTGTGTGTTTAGGATATGTAGGTCTAAGTGCCGCTGGGTTTGCTGCTTCACCTTTTCACCTGGCTTGGGACAAGGACACTTGAGGCAGGGTTTGGGTGGGTGAAGGCTCCCCACCCAAGGCCACATTTGACTGGATGGAAATACAAGTCCCCTCTTGTTACCTGACAATGTGGAGAAAGCTGATGACAGCCTCAGGCTTGACAGGACCCCTTAGTATCCAGTTCCCCACCTCTTCATTCTCTTTGCTCTGTTTTCCCCACCCCAGGAATTGCATCCCTGTAGAAGACCTGAATTGCCAAGTGAGGCATTCAGGGTAGAGTTGGACTCTTTCTTATTAGCTGTTGCATCATCCCTTGTGAAATAAACCTGTTTTAGCACATACCAAAATCAAGTGTGACTGGAGTTTGTATCTTGGGTATACCCTCCTGCTTATCCTGCTTATTGGTGGTAGGCAAGGAGTGGGGCAAATTGCCTGTCAATTCAATTAAATTCAATTCCCTGGCATAGGAATGACCACTATGATCTGGGCATGGGGTAGTGAGGAAATGAAATGGAAAAGATTTAGTAAAATACAAGTAGAACAAGAGAAATGCCATGAAAAACCACGATGCAGTGGAAAGAATCGTGGGCCTGGAGTTAGAAAGTTCAAATCCCATGTCTGACACTTATAACTCATGTGGCCTTAGGAGTAAATAGGGCTGGGTGGTCCAGTAGATAGAATGCTAAGCTCAGAGCTCAATTCAAATCCCACCTCAGACACATACATGTTTGACTTTCAGCAAATCATCTACCTCTGCTTCGATTTCGTCAACTGTAAAATGGGGATCATAATACCACCTACCTCATGTGGTTGTTGTGAGGACCAAATGAAGTCTTTGTAAATCACTTAGTACATGTCTAGCCCACAGTAAGCAATGAATAAATGTGTCTTCCCTTCCTCTTCTCCTGGAAGAGGGGGTGTGTGGGTGCATAATACAGTGAGTGGTACGTCACCACTTTGACTAACGAATGGTGAGTCTACTCAGGGGGCCCACCTCCCTAATCTTGTAGAATAGGCAGCAAAGCAGGAATGGGGGGGAAATACAGAGAACTCAAGCAAAGATGTGGAGGACTTTCCCATACCTTCCCTCCCCCCAACTCCATCCCCACAATACCATACTGCCCCTCCCCCCACCCAAAGTACCCAGCAAACATCCCTATACACCTGTGTCCTTACCAGACCTGCCACCCACAATAAATCAGGCCTTAGTCCTGCTAACTACTTCATGAAGACTGTGAATATTCCAATTCTTCAGCTATGCACGATTTCCCCTATCATTAGCAAACTCCTTACCCCTGTATTGTTCAATCATTGACTACCAAGGAGTAAAATTATCCCCAAGCCCCTCTTCTCTCATCACCATCTTTCTCAACCCTACCATACCCATCCCATTCTAATTCTGCCCAGATCTTCCATTGTGCCCTCTGAAATTCCCATTCCATCATGAATACATATTCCTTAATTCTAGACCTCTTCCTTTCATACTCTTTCTATTGTTCTCATAGAAACCTAGCTCCCCCCAAATGATGCTGCATCCCTGGCCTTTCTCTTTAGCACTGGCTATACCTTCTCTCACATGCCCCAACAAAAAAGGAGAGTTGGGATCTTCTTTGCTCCACACTCCCAATTCCAGATTCCCTTTGCTACCATCACTCAGAAACCTATTATTTAAAATACACTCTATTAACATTTTTCACCCTACACTGATCGAACTCTTTAAAAGGGATTTTTTCCCATTTTTGTATTGTATTCTCAGCACCGATCACAGTGCCTGGCATATAGTAAGTACTTAATAAAAGGTTGTTGATTGATTATTCATTGTGGTCTATCTACCTCAGGTCATTCCAATACCTCACTGTCTCCCTTTTCTCTCCAATAACTTCCCTTACATTAGAGACTTCAGCATGCATGATAATGCTCCCTCCAACACTCTAATCTCCTAGCTCCTCCAAATCCTGAGATCCCATGACCTCCCCTGAACCTCAGCCAGAATTAGTCACTAAGCAGAACCTTGTTAGGTCATTACTTTCCTCAATTACCAATCTCAACTCCAAAGTAATCAAACCTAACTCCACATTATATTCTACTCTCAAATTCCTTGCCCTCTGCTTGTGATATCACTGTTCCTCCCTCACAAAATCCCAATCCTGGATTGTGCCCACCATCCATCCACCTCCTCAACTTTTACCCACATACTGCTGAAAGAAGTTGGAGGAAATCAGGTGACTGATTTTAATATTTAACCTCCACTGTTCTCTTCCCGTTGATGGATGAGCTATTACTGTGACTCCTTAAGTTTCCCATACCTTCTCCTCCACCTTCCCCTCTCAGCTAAAGACCTCACTTCCTAGTTTACTGAGATAAATGAGGCCGTTCATCAAAAGCTCTTTCTTCTGTCTTTCTCTTCATCTTAAAATCCCTAATCTACCCTCCTTTCCTCCAGTTTCTGATAAAGACGTAGCCCTTCTTACCAAGACCACCCCATCTCCATGTGCCCTTGATCCCATCCCTGGCTGTATCCTCAGAAGACTATCTCCTGAAACATTCCCACCCCCTCTCTGATCTTCAGTCTCTCCCTTTCTGTTGATTTCTTCCCTTATTGTCCTTTAAGATACCCAAGTCTCCTCCATCTCAAACTGGATATCTTAGAGATATCTCAAAGTCAACATGTTGAAAACAGAACTCATTATCTTTCTCCCAAAATACTCACCCCTCTACCAAATGTTGTTTCTGTCAGGAACAACACCATTCTTCTTGTCTCCTAAGTTTGGGCCTTTGATGCCATCCTTGAACCCCTGCTCTCCGTCACCCCACATATCCAATCAGTTGCCAAATCTTCCATTTTCTATTTCCACCGTAGCCCTCCCATCCAAACCTTTTTCTTTGCTCACATAATCACCACCCTAATTCAGATCTTCTAACCTGGAATATTACGGTGGCCTCCTAGCTGGTCTCCCCTTTTCAAGTTTCTTCTCATTCTAATCAACCTTTTACTCAGCTGCCCAAAATGACCATGAACTCCAGTGACTCCTGATTAACTCCTGGGTAAATTTAAAATCTCTTATGTGATGTTTTAAAGCTTGTCCCAATTTGGCCCAAACTATCTTTCCAAGCTCACTATATATTACTCCCCCTCCCACACTCCTCAGTCCAGGCAAACTGGCTTTTTCTCTGCCCCTCACATACAACAATAATCTCCAGTCTCCAGATGTTTGCCCTGGCCATTCCCCCAAACCTGGAATATATTCACTCCTCACCTCTGATTCATAAAATCCTTCACTTTCTTCAAGAGGCAGTTTAAGCCTCAGCTCCTTTCCTAGTTCTACACATCCCCATTTGCTGGTGCCCTCCCTAACCACACTGTATTTTAATTTTGTGTACATATTTATGTATGTACTTATGTCTCTATGTGTGCATGCTGTCTCCTCTGACAGAATTTAAATTCCTTGAGAATAGGGATTATTTCTTTTTTTTTTTTGTCTTTGCTTCCCCAGTGTTGGTTGCCTCGTACTTATCATAATGTCCAAGGCAATGAGAGGTTGAGTGAGTTGCATGAGATCACACAGCCTGTGTACATAGGACTTGCACCCAGGGCTTTCTGACCAGAAGGCCAGCCCAATCTCTATTATGCCATCCTGCCTCTCCCCTGTTAAATAGGTACACTCATCTCCCACTCTCCCTGCTTTTTTCTTTCTCTGCCTCTCCCCCCCCCTCATTTTTTATGTAGTGAAAAAGCACAGATGGTCTTCTTGAGAAAGGTCCAAGCCACCACGCCACCATTTTTGAATCATGTCCATCTGTGTCCCTTGCTGAACTGAGTTTCTTCTTAGGATGTCATTTATTTCAGTGCTAACGTGAAACCCACCTGGTGCATGTTTGTGTGGCAAGGAGGATGATGGAGAAGGGAAAGCCTTGGAGCTCTGATTAGAATCTGGAGATGCACTGTGAGTGATCATCATCCCTGGGGCCACCCACAATCCTTTACACTTGTGTTCCAAAGCACTCCCTCAATCTATCACCAACTAATTTTACCTTAACAGCTTCCCTGGGAGATAAAGAGGACCTAGCAGCATGGGACGGCAAAAAGAGCTCTAGATTTGGGGCCCTTGGAATTGGCTTGGAATGCTGGCTTTGCTATTTTTCTGCTCTTGAGAAAATCCCTTTCATCATTCTGGGCAGGCCTCAGTTTCTTCATCTGAGAAAAGAAGGCGATGGATTCACTGGCTTCTTATGTTTCTTTCAATTCTAAGTCCATGATCCTAGGTGGTATAGTGAATAGATGGACTTAGAATCAGAAAGACCTGAGTTCCAATCCTACCCGAGACACTCACTAGCCCTGTGATTCTAGGCAAGTCATCTAATCTGTCTGCCTCAGCTTCCTAACTGAAAAAAATTCAGACAATAATAGCAGGTACCTTGATGTGAGAGTCGAATGGAGTAATATATGAAAAGTGCTTTGTAACTCATTAAGCAATAAACAAATACTCATAATTATTATTAGTCTCTTATTATCCTATGGTAAGGATAATAGGATGTTTAGGGATCCTATTATTGCTAAGATTCCTTCCAACTTTAAATTCTCAGAAACAAGTATTATCTTCATTTTTCAATCACTAAACAGAGATCCAGAGAGTTCAAACCATTTTCCACAGGACATTAAATTATTTGTGTGTTGGGGGTGGATGGATGGCTGGATAGGTAAGCTATTAGGGTTAGAACTGCTTGCTACTGCTCTTTCTATAAAATGACCACTAAGGTCCCTTTCAGCTCTAAATCTCTGATAATATAGCTGGCACAGTGGATAGAGTCCTAGTCTTGGAGTCAGGAAGACCTGAATTCAAATTCCACAATACTTTCTAACTATGTGACCCT